TCACCAATTGGAATCTGCATTCTCCTGATCAATCTAGACATAGCATCAGAATCCTTGATAAAAACACCCTAGTTAGATTGATCTTGATCTAATGGAATCTATTGGAAATGTTAGATCAGCAAAACCTTGTTCAGCCAATCAGGAACTTGGGACATTAAAAGGGTATCTCTGGGCTGGCGCTGTGGCTCACTAGGCTAATCCTCCGCCTTGCGGCGCCAGCACACTGGGTTCTAGTCCCGGTTGCCCTTCTTCCAGGCCAGCTCTCTCCCGTGGCCCGGGAGTGCAGTGGAGGATGGCCCAAGTCCTTGGGCCCTGCACCCCACAGGAGACCAGGATAAGCACCTGGCTCCTGCCATCGGATCAGCGTGGTGCGCCGGCCACAGCGCGCTGGCCGTGGCGGCCATTGGAGGGTGAACCAACGGCAAAAGGAAGACCTTTCTCTCTGTCTCTCTCTCTCACTATCCACTCTGCCTGTCAAAAAAAAAAAGGGTATCTCTGGATGTGACCCATCCTTCTAAATTTATTCCTGTTGTGAGCCACTCCTTTCCAAAATTCTTCCTCTGAAATATTTTATACCTAGATATTAACTCCCAGGTCCTTGGGTTTCAGAGATATACTGTCTCTATTTTATAAATATTCCAAGTGATAGAAAGTGGTTAAAATCTTGACTGTGAGTACACTTTTGTCTAAGCCTGTTTCTTTAAATAGGTACTATGCTACAAATATCATAATAACTTCAATGGAAATCATTTTAAGTAAAGGTGCATATAATCCCATCATTCTTGTTTTATTTATTAATAAAGCTAAATTTTTATTTTCTTCTACCAAACTCCTCTTAGAGTTTTATAATGTTATAACATGTGCACAATTCACATTTTGTTTCATTTATTATAGGCATTTATATTCCTACCTACAACTAATGCCATGAATCCTTGAAGTTTCTACTTTAAACTCTGAGATTATTTTTAGAGAAAATACAGCTTTGTTTTGGAAAGAAGTCTCAGTGAAAATCCTATCAAATTATGTTTGCCATCATTACTGGAGCCCCCCTCCCCAAGCCTTTCTGAGTGAATGGGAGTTAAGCTTTGACATTCCTCACAAGGGAGTCTAAACTGATGGATTACCATGTAGTGGTTATCTTACTCTGCCAACAATAAATGCTTTGGGAAGAAAGGCAGATCTGTTGGAAGGAAGGAAACCTGTGTTTACCCAAATGTGTTTTTAATTATGGTATTAACAAAGATAAAGCAAAACCAGGGAAATACAAAATAATTGCAAGGGAGTCTAACAAAATAAACATCATTTGTTCTCAGATTCTATTGAATTACTCTTATTCTTTTTCCAAATATTGACTATTTTCCCCTTTAGTAGTGTTTCTTCATGAAACCCCAGAATAAATGGACCTTTGCTTTAAAAACCAAATAATTATACAAGGAAAAAATAACAAATATAAAATAAATCATTTTGGCATTTAAAGATTAAAATGAAGCCACAGCTTGATCAAAGAGATTCATTAGTTGTTATTTGTTCGTCATTATGAATATTTCAAATCTTATGTAGTCAGAAGTGATCCATTACTGTTTTCCTGGAAGTGATAATATCTTCTCCAGTATCATTAACAGTGTTAATCTTGGTCAAGTTTCCCTGCATTAAAAATTTATAAAAGCCGAATGTTACCATAGTAACTACCATAGATCAGTGTTTCCCAGCCCTGGTGATTCAAAGATCTCACTCATATAAAAGCATAGCTTCACGGGCAAGATGTTAAGTACATATTTAGATACAGATACTCACATACAAAGATATAACATGTTCCCTTTTCCTCTCACAGAGAACATTTTCTTAAAGCAGAAAACTCTAGAGCAGTTACATATACATAAAATGAGCTCCATGGACGGTGGTGCTACTTGTATATTTCTTTAAGTACCACTTGTGTGCTTTATCCCAAGGATCAAATTATTTATTCCTGTGTGCCCATGAACCCTTGGCAGTGACTTTCTGCTTTCCTCTAGTCCCTTTCCCCTACTGAAGCAATGTGTTCATCAGATATCTTTGAGTTACAAGCAAGAGAAATGCCCTCCAGCTAGCTTAGATACATTTATGGGAAGCCAACCTGTATTTCACTTCCAGGAGAGCTCGAATCAGAGGTCAAGCACTGTCAAGGCCAATCATAGACTTTCTTTCCAAGACTTCACACTGTCTCCCCCTGTACACTTCGTTCTTTCTTCCCTCTCTCTGAAGCCTGGCTACTGGTGCATGTTGGCAAAATGTGGCCACTTCAAAAGGCCCTCCTTGCCAGTCTGTCTGCTTATTCCAAATTCTAAACAGTCATTTTAAGGGTGGAAAGAAGGTACCAATTGACCTTCTGTTGTTGGAATGGAGAATAAGAAGGGCTCAGGAAAAAGATGCAGAGAAGGCAGGATTGAGAGAAATGTTTGGGAGATAAGTATTTATGATACATGCAGCACCTGAATCAAGAAGAAAAGCATACCTAAATCCTTTATCTATATCATTTCTCTCTTTCTGCCCCAGTTTATGAAAATTTGCTGATCTTTGTGAAATCTATTGGAGGAAATAAATTATTTCATCTATCTTAAGTCCTGTTGGGAAATAATGAAAGTATAAATGCTTAATGATTAAACAAACAAATACTTAAAAAAGATACTTCAAAATATATATGAGTTCACTGCCTGGCACATCAGAGTGTTCATTGAAGAAAAATGAAACCAGTCAGTCTTTGGCACTCACCTGATCACAAGGAAGTTAAAAGTGAGAAGAGATATAGATGATGTGGGACAACATGTTAAGCTACTTCTTGTGACACCTTCATCCCATATCAGAGTGCCTGGGATCAAGTCTCACCCCAACTCCTTAACTACCTTCCTGTTAATGCACATAGGAGGCAGCAGATGATAATCCAAGTCATTGGGTTCCTGCCACCCATGAGGGAGATCTAGATGGTGTTCTGGCTCTTGGCTTCAACCTTGTCCAGCCATGCTGTTGTAGACATTTTGGGAATGAACAAATAAACAAAAATTGTCAAATATTCAAATCAATCTTTAAAAAAGAAGAAAGAGAGAGGGAGTGGAAAAGGCAGCCAGTTCCCTCATTCCTCTCCTCTGAGATGAATAAAAAACAGAGCCCCCGAGAGGGAACACCTGGCAGCACCACTGAGATTGAGAGGAGCAATCTGGGATTTCTTTTTTATATGTGGCTTTCTGGGAGCCTGGAGGGTCCAGAAGAATCATATTTTACAAGGCTCAGAAGTTGAATACTCTACTGCCAGCCTCCCCAGTTGGAAATTCAGATTCTGGTCTTGTAAAAGGTTTATTGCCTAAATATTTCACAGGAAAGGACAAGAGGACAAAAAGAACAATTTAAGACAGAACAGGAAAGGGAGCGCTCTCTTTCCATAAGCCCAATCCTAACTTTCACCTCTGCTGTGCAGAGGCCCAAAATGTACTAACTATGTGGTTAACAAATTGGACCTGTTGCCTGAGGGCCTAATAGTTCTGCCCACATCACAGATGCTGCAGTTAATTCTTTGGGTACTAGATGGGGAGGCAACTTTGAGTCAGGCTAATCAAGCTGTAAGAGTACTTTAGTGCAGCCATCCCACAATCCTCCCCTTATGTTAATACTTCCTTTGCTCTTTAGGCCTCTTCCCACTTCTCGCCAAAACTTTCAAGAAAGAATTATAGTCATTAGTAACCTAGTGTGAATAGATATTATCTTTGCAGAGGATGTTTCCATTTTAACTTTACCACTAATTATAGGTCTCCCAAGTGTTTAAAGGGATTTTAAGAGTATATATAAGAAAATGTGGCAGTTCTTTCCTTTTTCAGATTTTAATTAAGTTCTAATAAAATTAGGTAAGTTCTGTACAATGTTGAGGTTCAGTCAGTGTACACTGATTCCCCCTCTATTGCTACAATATTGACTTCCTTCTATACTGATTGGCCAATTTCTGATCCCACCTACACCCTATTTCACTGTCTCCTGTCCTTTCTGGGACCTTCAAGAGCTCCCAGGATCCACAAACTAAAGGGTCACCCTTGGTGCCATTGGGGTCTCCTGGACCCCTGGGTTGCTACTCTGTGGTCAGCATCCTATCAGAATGGTCATGGCCAGCACCATTCTGGTTGTGAAATATTTTGCATATCATCCCTGCTTCTATCTATTTCATGATCCTTTTTACTGTTTAAAAATAAAGGCATCCATCCTCTGTCCCCACCACCAGTCAACCACCATCAAACCAAGCTGAAATCTATTCTGTCAGTTACCTTCCAACAACAAATACAACAAAAATGCCAAGAATTGCTTAATAATAAACTCTGGGAAAATATGGTTGGAGAAAAAGTATAACCAGGTTTGAGGCTCTTAAACTTGTATGTCTAAGCATCTCCTAGAGAACATATTCGAAATGCAGATTTCTAGACTCCATCTTCAGAGATTCTGTCATAAATTGAGATAATTCTGGAATCTGTAATTTTAACTTACATTACAAACAAATTTAATGTATATTATACCTGCATCACATGTGAGATACAGCAAACTCAACTATTGCTGAGAATTTTACATAGTTTCCCATGGGAAAAACATACAAGAGGATTTCAAAAAGTTCATGAAAAATGGAATTAAAAGATAATTTTATGGTTGCAGAAAACATTTTGGAATCCATGTGTACATTTCTTATAACGCATATTTTTCATGAACTTTTTGAAGATCGCTTGTATGCATGGATTTCAAAATTCTTTGCACCAAAACATGCTAACCTTTTAATTAATTCCATTTTTCCACAAACTTTTTGAAGTCCCCTCATATATTCATCACCAAAGGCTTAGTTTGCCAGGATTATTCTCTTTACGAACATTCAGCTGCTTCCTACAGCTTTAACTGCAGATGGTCACGATGTAGCTCATCGCGGATGAGCTCGTTTCTGATGCTCCAGTTGTCTGGGTATTCTGTAAACACACTCTTTTTTTCTTTTGCAATTACAGAGTCTGTCATCCCCAGCAGTGGAACATTTCATGTAAAGCTCCCTAAGAAGCACAACGTGGAACTTGGAATAACCATAAGTTGTAAGTAGAAGTTATCTATTTTACAATATGGAATTTGAAGGTGGGCATTTGGCCTGGCAGTCAAAATGCTGATTAGGACACTGGTGTCTCGTGTTGGGTTCAAATACTGACTCTGGCTCCTGACTTCAGCTTCTTAGTAATGTGCACCAAGAAGACAACAAGTGGTTGCTCAAGTAGTTAGGTTCCTGCCACCCACGTGGGAGGCCCAGACTGAGTTCCCATCTCCCAACTTTGGCCCTGGTACAGCCCCAACCATTGAAGGCATTTGGGGATTGAACCAGTGAATAGGAACTTTATGTATCTCTCAAAATATTTGTTTCTCTATCTGTGTCTCAAATAAATTAAAAATATAGAGAGAATTTTTAACAGACATTAGAAACTTGTGTTGTCAAATGGTTTACAGGTGTGGCAAATGTTTTAAGTGCTATTTCCAAGTTTATATGCCATGACAGAACACTGGAACTAGTCACATCTCCACTAGCTATGTGAACTGGGAAAATTACTTAAACTTCCCATGATCTCATTCTTCACCTATATAAAATATATTCCTACTGTAATGTCTAGCAAGTAGTAAATATTCATGCTTTCACATCCTCCATGAATAATGAGATGAATAGATAAATACATATAGATTCTCTACTTTTTAGTGGATTGTTTCATAATTAACTAGCCAAAGTTTCATTTACTTACTTTTAAGACTATCTTCTCATCTGTCCACCATGTGTCTGTAATCCATTTCACAACACTAAAACAGTGGCTCTTACTTTAGTAAATTCCTGAATTGCTCCACAGTGCAGGGTATCTGGGTAACCAAACCAAACTGAAAAGCAGAGCATATGGATGTGTTTAATTCCTGTCTTGCACTAGGCTCTAGTTTTACAACTGCTTTGATAAAACAACTTGGAAAATATCAGCCCCAGTGGACCTTTATAAAACAGAAATTGAGGTGTTTTTATTACCCATAGACTAAGTTCATGCATTAATGCCTCAAGAAAATGAAGCCAATGATAAATACTAAAAGGCCATAGGAGACATGGAGGCAAATGACTGTGACCAAAAGGTGATCTCTTCAACAAAGGGTGATAAGGCTATGTAAAAGTGCCTCGCTGTACTGGCAGACAGCGTTTGTGACTGCCAAGCAAAAATAAAGAATTCTTGATTGAGCAGTATGAAATGGAGCATTCTGATTCTACTTTGATGATATAAATTGAATACTGAAAAATGAAATTTTATTTATAACCAATAAGCCACATGAATCTATTGCAGCACTAAAAAAGTAGTGCTATGAATCAGAAAAATGTTAAGAACAAGGATGTAATGTATTGATTTTGATAGCAACAATGGCAATAACACAAAAACTGCCATAAGAATGTCTTGAGTTTTAGCCAGCTGTGAGCTGTTCATGGATGAAAAAATGATGAATAAGCTTGTCACACCCGTTAGCTAGCCCTCTGGAGCAACAGCTCCATTTATACAACTCATCACCACCATATTGAGTTTGTGTCTCCTGGTACAGATACTTGTATTTTGCCAGTTCTGAGAAAACAGAATTTACTTTAAAAAAAAAAAAAAAGCCAAAATCTATTTCCATTGTAATGAGGTAGTCAACTTCTGAAGCCTAACACAATTCCTTGCACATACAAGGTGCTTATTGAATACCTGTGATGGTTGAATGAATATATAAGAAGTCTTGGGCTGGTGCCGCGGCTCACTAGGCTAATCCTCGGCCTGCAGCGCCAGCACCCCGGGTTCTAGTCCCGGTCTGGGCGCCGGATTCTGTCCCGGTTGCCCCTCTTCCAGGCCAGCTCTCTGCTGTGGCCTGAGAGTGCAGTGGAGGATGGCCCAAGTGCTTGGGCCCTGCACCCGCATGGGAGACCAGGAGAAGCACCTGACTCCTGGCTTCAGATCGGCGCAGCACGCCGGCCGCAACGCACCGGCCATGGTGGCCACTTGGAGGGTGAACCAACGGCAAAAGGAAGACCTCTCTCTGTCTCTCTCTCTCAATGTCTAACTCAGCCTGTGTTAAAAACAAAATAAATTATAGAAAGTCGTCTTATCCACAATGTTCTACCAAGTACTGTTTACCCCAGGAAATGTGCCTTTGAGGGACATATTCAGTAGATAAGGGGATTTCAGAAGTTTCACAGAAAATGGAATTAAACAATAAGTTTATTTTGATGCAAAAACAATTGAAATCCAAGTATAGTTGTTTTATAAAATACATTTTCCACGAGCTTTTTTAAAGGCCCTCATACATGTTTGTCCCAAGGCTGTTCTGTGGACAAATGAAGCCTTGACTCAGAAAATGATGAAGATAAGGATTCAGGACCTGCCCTGCGTCCCCATCCTGTAGACCTCTCTGGCTCCAGTTTTCTCATCTAGAAAATGGCGTCCAGTTTTCCTTCTTCATTGCATTATGGAGAAGATTGAATGAGCTGGTATTTGTGAAGTGCCTAGAACACACTGGAAATGCGACCAAATGTTCATGATTTTAGTGATGATCATTCTTTGCACATTGAGCTGTGTGCAATATTTCAAGCATAGCTGCAGACCACAAAATCCAGTGCCAACTGTATTTATACTTCTTAAATAGGAAATCCAGAGGCCCACTTTCAAACACAGGCTCTGTGAGTGAGGCCGAGGCACTGGGAGAGTTCACTGACTTTTTCTGCTCTTTGTGCAAAGTTCCCTTTCTGCCTTCTTCCCCTGGTGGACACTCTAAGGAACAGCCTGCATCTCTGGAAGCCTCCCATCAGTGCCTTTGCTGCTCACTCTTCAGACCTAATTGACTGGGAAATTAGTCTCTCTTTTTGGATGTGGTGAGCAGTTTTAGACTAATTTTCTCAAGCTCCTGATGAAACATTCACAGCACATTAGCATCGGACATTACTTTTATTGATGTTATTGCTACAATATGGAGTGATTTATGGCAGCAAATAAAGTGGAACGACCTAGCAGAAGGATACAGTGTGGAACTGGAAACCACTTCTTGACAGCCTTCCACTTCAACCAATCAGAAATGAGAGCTCCAGCCTTCCAGCACAACCACCTGCCTTCCCAATCATAGACCCCTATTTGTCTCTGCCATGTGCAATTGACAGTAAATTCCTCTGGATGTTGGTGTTTCCTTCTGAGATTCTATTTCAGGGATTTGTGTCTAGTTTATCCTAGGCATTGCACAATACAATACTGTGTGATTTCTTTCTTAGTCCTCAAAGCAGTCCTTTGACATCTATCCCAATTTAGAGAGAGGAAAGTACAGCTTGGCTGAGTCACCTGCACAAAGACCCAGAGCTAATAACAAGTGAAGCAGGAATCCAAACCCATTCTGTCTGACTTAACAGTGTCTTTGCTGTCACTGTGCCACACATCCCTTTGCTGTCTGATTGACAGGTCTCCCCAGATCCCGTATCAGAAAAGGAGAAGGCAACATTTTGTGAGTAGTTAATTTGTTGACTTTCCTTTAGAGTTGTGACAGAATCATTTGCAGGAACAAAGGCTTGCTTTATTCTTTTTAATAAAAATCATAAAGCAGCCTATGTCAGAAACACAACTAATCTGTCATCACCCACCCCCTAAGTCTTGGGCATATTTAGAAAGAAGGGTTTATGGAGCAATTTTTGCCAGCTTTCCAATAAAAACCATCCTGGATGCTTCCTTTCAAATCAAACAACTTGCTTTACTTGCTGTGTATTATGTATATAGTTGCAATTAAAGCAAAGTTGGGTGATTGTGTAGGTGTCTGTGTGTTTTAATGTAGTTTGGACACTTGATCAGACTCTGAACAAAGTACTTGATGAGCAGAGCAAGTGTCATGAATGGCTTGATGTTATAGGATGTTCTTGGAATATTTTGTTTATTCTCATTTAATTAGCTTCAGAATTCATCTGAGTTTACTTGTCTTCAAGTGTATAAAGAGGTATTTAATAAAAAATAGACTGTCACTTTTATACCTTCTCTGACAACTATTTGAAAAAATTCATGTTCACTCTAAAAATTAGTTTTTACAGTAAAGGGTGACAGGTGATTCTAAAATGGCTAGGTCAGAAGATGATAGCTTGAACACATGATTTTGCTTTTTTAAAATTACAGTATAAGAATTTTCAAGTGGCAAAAACCAGTAAGAAGGAAAAGAAAAGAACAATAGACAACAACCACCAAAGCTGGTAATGAACCCAATTTACATCCTGTATACCCAAGAGATTTGGAGGTTGATGTGATCAGAGATAGAAGGAAGTGAGAGTGATGGTAAAGCTAAGGCAGGAAGATGGACAGTCTCTGAAGAAGGAATCAGTACCTGAGATGCCTTCCTCTATTCTGCAGAGCTAAGTGCCCTTCTACCCTGCCAGAGGGGCCACATTCTTTAATATAAACAGACAACCAAGAATAAAAAGGCACTTGAAAAAGAATTACACATGCAAAAGTATCACCAAAAACAGAGAGGAAAGGAAAGGCAGAGAAATAGTATATGCAGGAAGAAGAAAACTAAAAAGCAAACCAAAAAACCCCATCATTAACATTATTAGCAACATATTGCACCCTTAGGGGTGAGTTGGGAGCAAACACTGTTAGAAAATAGCATCTAGCATGCAACATAGGACTCTTGAAAATTAAAAATACAGTAGCAGAAATGAAAAAATAAAAAATTAAAATTGCAGAATATTTCAAGATTGTAGAACAAAATACACAAGAAATTTAGACTAGATAAAAAACAATTTAGAGGATGAGTGCAAATGGTAGCACATCCAAATAATAGGCATTACAGAGAGAAAGAGGAGGGAAGAGCATCCAAGAAATAATATAATGAAATATCTTAGAATCAATGACAATTTCCAAATTAATGGGTCTGTAACCCATGAATGAGAACAGCCCTACACCAAGACAGGTGATTATAAGATCTAAGAATACTGGGTAGAGGGGTAATCCTACAGGATTCCAGTGGGTGAGTGTGAGGAGTGGATTTCAAACAGGTGTCATAATAAAACCAATAATAACCAGATAATCAGAATGATAGCAGGCTTTTCTGGGGCCGCTCAGGAAGCTAGAAAGCAATGCAGTCAATGGAAGAGTGGATTTCCTTCAGAATTCCACAGGGAACAGTTTTCTAGCCTAGAATTCTTTACCTAGAAAAGCTGTCAATCAGTTGTGAATCAAACATGCTATCCCAAAATAACACCCACAGGGGGAGCGAATGGCTCTTGAAAATTAACTGTTCAGCTATACAAGGTCTCAGAAAGTCCTCCTTCCATGCATCCTCCCTCAAAAATCAAGAATGAGCATCATCAAAAGTGAAAGAAAGCAAAGCCAGAAAGTGAGAAGTTGGATTCACATTGCAAATTGTCCACAGATGTGAAAGAGAAGAGATGAAAACTTCTGGGATCCGAGAGTCTATGGAAGGGAAGTTCCCAAGGTCTATGTAGCAAACCCTAGAAAGAAAACAGTCCAGATTATTCAGAAAGTTCTGCCAGAATTCCTGATGCCACTTAATATATTACAAGATTATTTACATATTTATAACAAATCTGTGGAGTTGAATTCATGATAATCACAAGAAAACTAAACAAAAACATTGAGATGACATAACTATGAAGATATGTTGTTCAACAGAAAAGGAAAGAAATCATAGAAGGCCACATGACTTGTCTCTGGATACTGCTGATCTAAACATGCTGAAGTAAATACCGGATATTAACCTTACACAAATCGTGGCAAACATTTATTGGAAGAAAAATATTTTAGAAGCAAGAGTTGCATGTTACTTAGCAATGTGGAAACAAACAAAGCCCAGAAAGTTGCTCCATCTAGAGAAGCAGAAAAATGAGGACTTATCTTGCAGAACTTTTTGTCTCTTTCAAATAAATATATACATGTATAATTTTGATGTAATTAAAAAGTAAAATCTAGTAAGTGGTTTCCCTGTGAGAATCAAGAATGTACAGCATGGGCAGCTTGAAAAATATCAGCCATTATAATGTTATACAAATGGATATGCCAGTGACATTACCTAGCAGGACTGCAGAAGAGCTATAGGCATACAAGACAATACCAAAACTTGAGACAAGTTAAGCTTGTCTTGTCTGAAGAAGCTTGTAATGACCCAAATAATGCAGTTCTTAGTAACAAGAGTGCTGACAATGAAAATATAAAGGAAGAGTTTGAGTTAAGTTTATTTCAGGCCTTTTCTTACCAAACCACAGTCTTGACCTATTTAGTGTCCCTTCCCACTGATTTGTTTGTAAGGACGTCCCTGTTGAAATCACTTCACAAAAGACAAAAATATTTCATGTCTAATGACCTCATAAGATTAAACTAGTCTTGCCTCTTTTTCTTACCCAACCTCTCTGGGGTTTCAAAACCAGGACCCACAACAGAGGTGCCTGGCTCATAGTTTGCAGTCAATAAATATGCATTAAATAAACGAAGGAGCCGATGGAGATTTCCAATCAAATTCAGAGCACTAAGTGGATGCAAATATTTTCTCAGAGGGTCACAAACTCAGAAGCCCTCCCAGGTGAGGGCAGTCAGTGAGATCTGTGCAGTGAAGACAATGGCAGGTGGGAGGCTAAAGGCTCCATCTAGAGTGGGGAGCGGGAAGGTGAGTCCAATATCGTTGGATAATAATAACAATAAAGATTTCAGTCCTGCATTCTGGGTGCACTGGTCCAGTACTTTCACATGTAATAAAGCAAATAAACTTTACCACAAGCACTCAGGGTGCATGCTGCTGTTATTCATCCTTTACCACTTTGCAGATGAGGAAACTAAGATACCTAAGGATCGTGTGCTCAGGCACACATAGTATTAACTAATAGAGCTAGGATTTTGAATCTAACTATTGTGACTGCCAAGTCCTGCCTCTTCATCACTATACTATATTGCCCCTCTGTATTTTTTCAAAAACAAAAAAAGAAACCATATGTCTATAGAAAATCTGTTTTAAATGTTAGCAATTAATTGTTTTGAAGATTTATTTTATTTATTTTAAAGGCAAAGTTGCAGAGAGAGATAGAGACAGAGAGAGATCTTCCATCTGCTGGTTCACTCCCCAAATTGCCATAATGACTGGGGCTGGACTAGGCTAGAGCCAGGAGCCAGTAGCTTCTTCTGGGTCTCAAGCTTGGGCCATCTTTTGCTGCCTTCCCAGGCACATTAGCAGAGGGCTGAATTGGAAGTGGAGCAGCCAGGACTTGAACTGGCACCGATATGGGATGCTGGCATTGCAGGCTGGGGCTTTAAACTGCTGCGCCACAGCACCATCCCCTGGCAATTAATATATTCAAACATCACAAACCAAGCAAAGTATGCCTAGTCTGTGAGTTCTTCTCAGGTGGTAGAAATTTGAGACATGGTGATAGTGTACAGCAAGGCCATAGGCTACCTTGCCGCATATAACATGCGTGGTAGTAACAGACAGGAGTTCATGTGAATTTGGACCTGCATCTGGGTTTAACTTCATCACCTCTATGGGCATCCCCTCAATGAACCTTTCAAGTCTTAGGTATGGACTTGATAAAGGAAAAAGAAGAATCTAGCAAATGTGAAAATGCCACAATAACTTTCAATAGACTTTCAATAAGAAATTCCAATCTTGCTGCAAATCAGTGTGTTTGTCTAAGAGATCCTCTGGTACAAAGATGAGATAAATGGGTTTGATGTATTCCATGGCCTTTGCTACTGTTTAGTTTTGTAGACTATTTCAGTGGAACGTGGATGTTTGAAAAAGCCAAATAAAATACTGAATACTATCTGATGCTTACTGGAGCTTGACAAAATGTTGTGTAAATTCATTGGCAGGTGCTAGAAAAGTTATACTTGCTGGTAACAACAAAGTTATTTTGTGTGCATGTGTCCTATGCATAGAATAATTTGCAGTTTTGAAATATGGCATGAGTGAAAATGTTTACATTTCTCCAGAGGAATTATATCTTATCATTGAATGAGGGCTTACATTATAAATTAGTTATGGTGACTAGAATGTTTCCCATTCTTTGCTAAAAACTAGGAATACTGATTAAATGAAGCCTCGTTGACATTTACTATGGACTGATTTAGACAGTGGATAAGGTAGTGGTATCAGTGTTTGCATTCTCTTTAAATATTGTTTTGAGATATTAAACCATCTGTTATTGTGCATAAACATTTTCCTAGGATTCAGATGGGATTATGGGATATGACATGGTTCTATGATTATTATGAGGTGATTGTACTGTCTATAATATAATTTACTTTAGGGGCCTTTTAATGATCTTTTAAAGGAAATCACTTCAGGCTTCTGGTTAGCAAATTATCTCCTCTTGGGGGCAATTTTTTTTTACAAATGTTAGTATCATTAATTCTAAGTATCAAACTCCTAAATTAAATATGTGAACTTTCTAAGTGATTTTTTTTGCACTTATATGTACTATAATTCATTTTAAGTAGGCTTATTTCTAGTTGGTTTTCATTCTCATAAAATGGACATTCTCCTGAAAAAAGGTAGAAAGTCCAAAACTTGCCACTGTGAAGAATATTTTTTTTTTTTTTGACAGGCAGAGTGGACAGTGAGAGAGAGAGACAAAGAGAAAGGTCTTCCTTTTGCCGTTGGTTCACCCTCCAATGGCCGCCACGGCTGGCGCGCTGCGGCCGGCGCACCGCGCTGATCCGAAGGCAGGAGCCAGGTGCTTCTCCTGGTCTCCCATGGGGTGCAGGGCCCAAGCACTTGGGCCATCCTTCACTGCACTCCCTGGCCACAGCAGAGAGCTGGCCTGGAAGAGGGGCAACCGGGACAGAATCCGGCACCCCGACCGGGACTAGAACCCGGTGTGCCGGCGCCGCTAGGTGGAGGATTAGCCTAGTGAGCCGCGGCGCCGGCCTGTGAAGAATATTTTTACCTATCGATTCAGAAGAAATTACATGTACATTTTTAGAATATCAGTATATATTAACATTATAATTAAGCAGCAACAAGCTGCTGCAGTCAATAAAATAAGTCACATTCATAGCTTTCTAGGTATGAAATTGTGGGTAGATTTTAAAGATTTATGGTTCATCCCGCTAAAGATTTCCATCTAGAAAAAAGCAACTCCAAGTCTGTGATTTCCATCCACTTTCTCACCCAGTACACTTGAGTATTATGGCACATTCCCATCAACAGTGCTGGCTCCCTAAAAGGAGTGAAGGAAGCAGTGGGAGACAGGACAACATATCAGTATCACAAGGGGAGCCCCCAATTGGTTTTAATACTCTCCTAATGAGGCACCCACTCTTTGCATCCCCTCCTGAGAATCATTGATTAAAACCAGTTTAGCCCACATCCCATGTTGGAGTGCCGAGGTTTGAGTGCCAGTTCCAGTCCCAATTCCAGCTTCCTGCTAATGAGAGCTAGAGAGCAGCAAGTGATGGCTCAGTTGGCTGAGTGCCTACCGCCCCTGTGGAAGATCCTGACTGAATTCTTGGCTTCCAACTTCAGCCTGACCCAGTCCCAGCTGTTGTGGGTATGTGGGAGTGAACCAACAGGATAGAAACACACACACACACATTCTCTCTCTCTCTTTACCTTTTAAATAAATGCAATTAATTAACTGATTTCTTAGAAAATAAATTAAACCTTGATAACTGCTTTTCAATTATTTTTCCCAATTTCAAATTTAAAATGATTTTGCTTCTAAATTTATAAATATTTTAACACATTATTATACATATAATGTGCATATATTCTAATTCATTATTATATAATAGAAACATACAGCGGTGGATCATGGATATAAACATGTGACTATTCTCTTATTACAGCACCATCTAGTAGAAAGCCAGGGGACCCCTTGGTCATTTCAGATATCAAGAAAGGGAGTGTGGCTCACAGGTAAGGAAAATGGATTTTCTGGTTTATTCCAAATCACCTCTTAATTTATGCAGAAATGATCTCTTCTACACCTAATGCAGACCTTGATAAAGGGCCACCTTCATATAAAGTAATATCTGTACCCACACAGTGCAGACAAACATCAACTGGAATTGATTTTCTGGGTCTTTTATCAATCCAGGATGTACTCTCCTTCACTGACCATCTTCCATCTTTGATTTGTCCAGCTAAAAAGCTAACAGTAGCCCAGTTATGAGAGGTATCCCAAATGAAGATACTAACTTGTAGAAGAAGTTTGCTGGATGCCAGAACATTATCCCTGGGCAAGCAAGATCCTTGAGCCTTATGTAATGTTTGCATCTCTTCTTTGGCCCATATATCACCAAAATCAAGGCATCTCAAATTTATTTCACATGTAAGAATGTTTTTCAAATGACTGAGTTATACAACTGTTCACTTTTTATTTTCCAATGATGACCTTTAGAAATTAGCACAATCATTTCATCAAAGAAATATTTTAGCACTCAAACTGTAGGTGGGGGCAGGTGCTGTGCCACAGCAGGTTAAGTCACTGTTGGGATGCCCACATCCTATATTGGAGTGCCTGGGATTGAGTCCTGCCTCTGCTTCTTATACAGCTTCCTACTAATGTGCACTCTGAGAGGCAGCAGTGATGGCTCAAGTGCTTTATTCCCTGCCGTGAGAGACCCAGATGGTGTTCCAGGCTCCCTGCTTTAGCCTGGCCCAGCTCTAGCTGTTGTGGGCATTTGGGGAGTAAACCAATGAATGGGAAATCAATCTCAACCTCAACCTCAACCTCAACCTCAACCCCTCCCCTCCCCTCCCCTCCCCTCCCCTCCCCTCCCCTCCCCTCCCCTCCGCTTCTCTTCACTTCACATCTCTTCTCTTAGCTTCTCTACTTTACTCTCTCTCTCTCTCTCTCTCTCTCTCTCTCTCTCTCAAATAAGTAAACTTTAAAAATATAGCGAGAACATTGTATGAATTTAGGTATGTAAGTATAGGCTCAGCTACTGTGATAAAGAGACTTATAAATGTGTGAACAAGACAGCTCATCAGCCATTATCATTTGGGTGGGAGGTGGGGATAGGGTGCTGACACAGTCTTGAGTATGCATGTTCAGGGGATGACCCAAAAGAAGGAAAGGGAGGATGGATGCTGGGAAACAGCAGCCTCTATCACAGACATAAAGTGTAAGGGACAATTCTTACAAATAAGTGTGTCTGTACATAGGTGCACATGGGAACTCATACACATACTACATTCTTGTTATTTCCCCCACTTCATGATGGACTTTGAAGACTTTCAGGCTACCTGCAGTGGTCCACAGCCAGTACAAGGTTCTGTGTGACCATTTTCCAAAGAGGGAGCATTAGATTCATCCACACCTTTTCTTCCTATTCAAGCTACAGTGAGTTTCTGGATGCAGGTAGAAATATCAGAGATGCCAAGTCTCAGGCCTTGACGAACCCCATCCCACCTTGGCCTCTCTTACTCCCATGGCCCTCTCCTAAGTGTCTGGCTGCCAAGGGTCCAAAGGGTACAACAACACAGATGAATACAAGAACACCAGGATCTCTGCAGACACCTAGCCCACTGCCTCCATTGATACAAGCTTGTATCAATGTCCTGGTTTAATTGAAGAAAGTGTAAGAAGAAAAATGGTTTCTGTACCCTGTTATTTAATGTCATGGCATCCTTCCCAAATAAGCCTGGGAATGCAGGAAGGGCATTGCCAATAAACTTCAATTATAAAACAGTTGAAGAACCTCTTCCCTAGAGATTACCATAAAACCACATAATGCTTAATGCCTCTTTAAACAGCCTGGTTAGGGGCTCATCACTGGTCACATGTTACTGTGTGTTCACTGACAGAACTGGAACCCTGGAACTTGGGGATAAGTTACTTGCAATAGATAACATCCGGCTGGACAACTGCTCCATGGAAGACGCCGTCCAGATCCTCCAGCAATGTGAAGACCTGGTGAAGCTGAAAATCCGCAAAGATGAAGATAATTCAGGTACTGATGGTATCCTTAGTTAAGACTGATTTTTCTAACTGCCCATCTGTCACAAAATGATAGTAGAGCTTGATGTTTTACATACAACAGCTGGCAAATGCCATTTCAGAAGTGTTTACATAGTTAATGAGGGTCTTTAAATTGTATGTTGAATGTAGCCTGAATTTTAAATGATATAATGAGGATATTTTTGTTATAGAGTCATTTTTATAATTGTATTAAAATATTTTTAAGATGAAACTAAACCATCATGCAGTTATATACACCAATACAATGGAGCTAGTCATTCTCTACTTTTGTTTATGTTACATATTGATAACCACATGAATTTTTTTACTTAACTTTACATTAAAAACACTTTGCCATTTTATACCCTTTACTATCTATTACTTTTTATCTACTGCCTTTAATTATTTACCCTTCTCTTCTGAAACAGTTATGTTGATTCTAATTTTTCATTGCCATAGATAGTACTATCAGATATCTTTATTCAATTTTTTTCTTTTAAATCAGGGGTTGAGAACTTTTTTCTGTCAAGGGCTATTTAGATATTTATAACATTCCTATGCCATACAAAACTACCAACTTAAAAAATTAGCCTACTATAGATTTATTGAATTTGGAATCTCACCTGCAGTTGCCTTGGCAGAGCCAACCAAATGATGTTTCCAATCTCTGCTTTATAATATCACCATAGAAAACATTCCTAGAAGTAGGATTGGTGGGCTATAATAAAAAAGATATTTTATGCACACATATGCATGTGTATCTTTATTCAACTTTTTTCTTCTTTTAAATTATCTCCTTAAAACTATTCTTAGAAGTAGGATTCCTGAGTCTTAATAAAAAAAAGAGATTTTTATGATTCTTGATGCATCTTGTACTGTGTTGTTTTCTAAAAGGGCTAAATCCATTCTTAGGGCCTCCAGTAATATTTGAACATGGTGGTGCAGTGCTACTCAAACTTAGGTAGGCCTCGGAATCACCTGCAGAGCTTGTTAAAATCCAGATGCTGAGAGTTACTCCTAGGTGAGCCTAAGACACGGTTCCTAGCGTACCTCCAAGTGCTGCTGCTGTAGTAGTATGAACAGCACATGTGGCTGCGCTGCAGCTCAATAGGCTAATCCTCCGCCTGTGGTGCCGGCACACCGGGTTCTAGTCTCGGTCGGGGCGCCGGATTCTGTCCCGGTTGCCCCTCTTCCAGGCCAGCTGTCTGCTGTGGCCAGGGAGTGCAGTGGAGGATGGCCCAAGTGCTTGGGCCCTGCACCCCATGGGAGACCAGGAGAAGCACCTGGCTCCTGGCTCCTGGCTTTGGATCAACGCGGTGCGCCGGCCGCAGCACGCCGGCCGCAGCGGCCATTGGGGGATGAACCAACAGAAAAGGAAGACCTTTCTCTCTCTCTCTCTCTCACTGTCCATTCTGCCTGTCAAACACACACACACACACACACACACACACAAAACAGCGCATGTTAGCCCCTGCAGAAGAAGCTCTTGGGGCTGATTTTGAGAAGAATCTGGGGCTCATTGGGAAAAAAATATTCATTAATTGAAAGAGTCAGTTAATGTGGAGAATTATAGAAACTGATACATTCTAAAACAAACATTCCATATAAAATTTTGCCCATCTTTGGATAAGTCAAGGTCTTTCCGATGAATATGGTCTTTTTGTTTGGTTTATGATTTCCAGTTTTGGTTTTGTTTTGTATTGTGTTTAATGCAGTGAGAAAGAACTTAGAGCAATCTGAATGCTTACTCTACCTAGATTTTAAAAAAAGATCTATTTATTTGTTTTAAAGGCAGAGTTACAAAGAAAGTGGGACAGATAGAGAGATCTTGCATCCACTGTTTCTCTCTTAAAATGGCCACAATGGCCAGAGCGGGGCCAATCTGAAGCTAGGAGCCAGGGGCTTAGACCATCCATCCTCCACAGCTTTCCCCGGTGCATTAGCAGGGAGCTAGATTGGAAGTAGAGCTTCCAGGACTGGAACCAGCACCCGTATGGGATGCTGGCACTGCAGGCAGTGGCTTTACCCATTACGCCACAGCGCCAGCCCCACTCTACCTAGATTTTTTTTCTCCAATGTTTTATAGTTTTTCTTCTTTGTAATTAACAGTCGATTTTTTTCCTAATGGCTTCTCATTGAATCTTTCCAAAGCATTTTATTTTGTTTCCATAGCACATAGCACAGCTTCACTCCTCTTTCATAGGTTATGTGAGCACAATTAAATTACATAGTTACAATAACAAATAGTATAAACTTGTATAAGTAGGTTTGGGAATAGGCGTAATTGGCTCCAAATTTTTGTGTTTACAACTAAAGAAGTAGCAGGAGCAGAAGTGCACAAAGGAACTAAAAAGAGAGATTTTTATTACTCTGGCACCTTCCATAGTGTTGGTCTGTATATTTTATGCTGGAGAATGGAGAGCCACAATTAATCCATTAAATTGGTTGGTTGGTAGTTATAATTTTGTATATAATTTCATCTCAAGTCATAATGAATTACCGTATATGCTCTGGAACCGCCCATAATCAAATCATCTTAAACACAGAGTTCATGGTCATGTCATGCCATGTGCTTATAATCCCCATTCAAAATAAAAAAAATCAGTAGTTGGAATTATCAGTACAGCTGGTAATGATGGTTATAGCCCAATATATTTTATAACTAACGTTTAAAAATATGCATAGGCTTGTACTCATTATTTCCCAAGCAACTGATTTTCTGTGCCAACATTTGCATTCCTCTCCTTACAAGTTTGCTTCAACTGCACTTTTTTAAGGGATTTATTTCAAGAGAGGGATAAAGCCTCTGGCTTCAGTCTGGGTTCTTTCCTAGAGAAGAGGCAAAGCCCTACGGAGAAACCTATTTTGCATGATTTGCCTAGCTAAGCAGATCTGAGCTACTTCCTTTGCAGAGTGGAAAAGCCAAGCAGAGATGAATATGTATGGTGGGCATGGTTGGGAGTGTATCCAATTTCAAAGCCTGGCTGTGCAGACACATTGGCAGGAGCTTTGGATACAACTGAGTACTTGGAGAGTTAGATCTTATTTTCAGTTGCTGATTTCCTCTAGCTCATTTTTCCCCTTGTACCTTTTCTGTACAACCCATGCCTAGTACTATGGTTGTTATTATGCATATTAAGTATTCCTTAACTTTAAGAGTTCTATTTTAGGCTAATCCTCCGCCTGCAGCGCTGGCACCTCGGGTTCTAGTCCCGGTCAGGGCACTGGATTCTGTCCCGGTTGCTCCTCTTCCAGTCCAGCTCTCTGCTGTGGCCCGGGAGTGTAGTGGAGGATGGCCCAAGTGCTTGGGCCCTGAACCCGCATGGGAGACCAGGAGAAGTACCTGGCTCCTGGCTTTGGATCAGCGCGGTGCACCAGCCGCAGCGGCCATTGAAGGTTGAACCAACGGAAAAGGAAGACCTTTCTCTCTGTCTCTGTCTCTCACTGTCCACTCTGCCTGTCAAAAAAAAGCAAAAGTTCTATTTTTAAAATCCTAAATCCTTGAAAAATGTACCTATACCTGTTAGCCATCACAAAACACAACGAATGCCAGAATAAGGAAAAGGGTTTATTGGGGAAAACCCAGCAGACTGGAGGGGAGGGACAAAGAAGGATAAGAGAAAGAAAATATAAGAGAGCCAGAGGAGAGGAGCTAGTGAGGAGAGAAGATAGAACAGAGAAGAGAGACGAGAGGAGGAGAGGAGCCAAGAGAGCCGAGAGAGGAGCCAAGAGAGAGAGAGAAGCCAAGAGGAACAGGCCCTTTTAAAACTTTGCCCGAGGGCAGGCATGGAAGCAGGAGCAGCGAATCCCATTAGGTTAGGGGGTGGAGCTTGGCACAGGTAGTTTGGGCCATGTGGCTACCTGGCTTTCAGTAATGGCAGCCAGTACCAGGGCATAGAATGTAAGTCAGATGTAGATCGTGCCACAGATAAGACTGAGCCAGTTTCCTAACAATACCCAAAATAAGACTATGCATATCACTGTGAGAGACATATCTCCCAAAGCCAGATTTTCTCAAATTGTATACCAAAACATCTACTAATTCAGAATTGTTTTTATACAGAAGGCAATTTGAAAATTATCACCTGGCCATAAATATGAAAGAATTAGGGTATGTTCTTCTCCTATGAGATTATGAATATAATTTTAGTAACTAAATTCCTTTTTACTCAGAACAAAGAAAGATGGAACAGGTGGAGCTCTATTACTTAAAATATGAAACCTGATCAGAGGTTAGTTCAAGCCAGGCTGAGTAGAGATAAAGAGCACACCTCTTAAAAATCAGACCTCTTTTATTTAAAAGATTTATTTTGTTTATTTTAAATGCAGAGTTACAGAGAAAGAGAGGGAGAGACATAGAGATCTTCCATCTGCTAGTCCATCTCCCAAGTGAACACAACAGCTGGGGAGGAGCCAGGAGCTTCATCCAAGTCTCCTACTTGGGTGCCGGGGCCCAAGAATTTGGGCCATCTTCCACTGCTTTCCCGGGTACATTAGCAGGGAGCTGGATCAGAAGTGGAGTAGCAAGGACTCAAACCAGTGCCCAAATGGGATGCCAGCACTGCGGGCAGCAGCTTAACCTGCTGGGCATGATGCCAGCCCCCAGATCTTGTTTTAAAGTCCAGATCTCCTACATTTGAGCTGTGTGAATTTGGATAAATTATCAAACTGGTCTGAGGTTCGGTTCCATATTCATTTACGTATGCATACTAATCTGTCAGGGAGCTGTTATAACTTATTGAAGGAGAGTCTTACTGGCACAGTCAATATTCAGTAAGTGGGAACTATTTTCATTACAATTACCTACTGAAATCCCTTCCCCTCCATTTGATCCTTAACCAAGATATAACCGAGTGGAAAGTAATCCTTGTTCATTAGGATGGACACTGATACCATGCTCACGCTGCAATTATGCTGGTGGCTGAACTGTCACATTGAATAATTGCTATTCTTTGTCTCAGCATGTTTGAATGGTGGCACTCCCGTACTCTT